ACAAGCATCATTACATTGTTCTCTAAATATCGGGGTCCCTAATTCATAATTTAACATTTGTGGATTTTTTTTATATATACCTTTCCAATGAAGTTTCCTTGGCAGTAACTGGTTAAAATCATATATATAAAAACTTCTTAATGATAATTCTTTAACTTCAAACTATCTCAAAAATAAATAACTATTTAAGTTGAAAGTACTTTAAAGGAAATAGCATCCTTCAATTTTGGATATGTTAATTATTAAATCACAATTCTGCACAAATCTGTCAATTCCATATAGTATTGATTACTGGAAGCAAAACTGAAAAATTTGCATAGCTATATAAAAATTAAATACAAGTTTCTTAACACTCAGATCAATCTTTTGTGGGTTTTGGGATTTTTTGGTAAAATGGTTTTCTTTTCCAGTTCTTGCAACATAAATTCCCATTAACTGAAGTGTTAGTAGCTAAATATACCAGTATTGAATCCCATGTTTCTACAAACTATACCTTCAAAGTGTATAGTTTAACATCTCTGAATGTTGTAAAATCAAGCAAAAAATAAATAAATTGTTAACTCGTTTCTGTGTGGTCATCTATACATGTGTATACATCAGATGTTAAGAATTTAGATAATGTATTTAAAGCCTACACTGACCAAAATACAACTTTCCATGATAGTAGACTATTATTACACCAATAAAACCAACACTTACTATCTGGGGGAAATATTTTTTATAAGTTCACAATAATCATTGTTTTGACTTACCATATAAGCCTGCGGTACCATCATAGGTTGAACTGGAGTCTGTTGGGAATATGGTCCTGCCATAAACCCTGGTGTTCCCCAATGACCTCCAGGTGTTGTCTACAATGAAAACCCAACAGTAAAAATACATATTTTATTAATACAGGTATGAAATTAGAGCTTCAGTAACAATGTTAACCCTATTTACACAGGTAGATGTCAGAGAGCATGCCATCACGTTTGTAGACTTATATTCAAAATTTTATTTAACTATTATTTTATACATCCATGTCAATAAGTTTGGCACACATATGTAATGTATAGTAACCAAAATGTTACTGTATTTTACAAAATACTGGTACACTGGTGCTAAGAGTAAGAAATTAGTACTTTGTCATAGACGAGTATTATTGTTTATTGAACTTTTGTTATTTTTCTGCCAATTTACATTGAGGTAGAAAAAAAAACAAAGTATGTACAACTAAAGACTTGGAAATTCTGGAAAAGTTTATTTATATAATTTGAGAAAGATGGAATGTCTTATAAAAGTCAATGAAAAATATTTATCATTGATAAACTGATCTTAACACTTGGAAAGGAACATCTTTACATACAAGTGTATAGATCAAGGAAACTCTGTATAAAAATATTTCAGTAAGAAACCAATATTAAAAATAAGAATAAATGGAGAAGTTTTAGAACATATTATTGTACATTCAAACCAAAAGTAATCACTCAATAATTTGTTTCTAAACTAATAAGCAAGAAGGCTAAGCCAGAAATTCTAGCTCAACCAAAATGGGCCGTATTTATATTACTAGAAACTATGCATTTATTGGTTACTGTGTAAGCATGGCAATATAGGAAACAGGATGTTCATAAGCACTTACACACGTTTACACCTATACTAACACTAAATCCCGACCACCCAGGAGGTTAACTAACACCCCAAGTACTTAAGTTTATTGGATTGCATACAAATTTGTATAGAGCCATATCATATATTCTCTCACTTTTATAAAGTACTTTAGACAATTGTTGTTACAACCACCGTACTGCAAAGAAGCCGTTAAATTCTACCCCACTGTGTTCTTGGAAACGTTCTGTTATCCTCTTATTGGATCGGCCTGGACTTTCTACAAAGTCATAATATAGACATTTTATAATACTTTACGCAATTGTCATTGAAACCATTATACTGTCAAAAAGTTAATAAATCCTACCCCCACTGTGTTTTCAAAGTAAGGAAAGTTCTGGGAATTGTACAACATGAGCTTATTTGATATTGATAGTGTCAAACTAAGTAAGGTGTGGCAATTCACTGATTTATATTTGGCAGGTTACTACTTCAGCCACTAACAGCAGAATAAACATAGGAAATAGGTGTGAAAATATTACAAGAAACTCTCAGGAATTTTATTTTTGAAACTTAATGATTCATATTGAAAAAGACAAACGGTACAACTCATTTTGTTTTGTCAAGTTTCTAAATCAGCTCTGACAATAAAATTACTACAGAAAATAAGTAGGAAATGGTGAGAAGTATAAACTCTGCCCATAAGTTCATTGAAACTTATGACGTTAAAATATTACATTTCTGGTTCCTAATAGCAAATGAGTACCAAACTGCTAATGAAAATAAAACATCTGGAATACACTTAAATTTTAAAGTTCTTACAACTTACCATTGTCTGTTGGTAAGTATGCTGAGGTGACGTCCAACCCATAGCAACACCAGCCGTCGGCATAGGTTGAGTCCAGTTAACTCCTCCCCCTGCTTTGCTCTCACTCTTTGAAGAACTCCACTGATGTCCTCCTTGTCTAAAGAACATAAAGTGAATGATATAAAATGGTTGGTACCAAGTTTCCGACTTAATCAATAGGTAATGACAGTGTCTTTTATATGTGATTTTGCATAATCTTTGTTTACATATGTATATAAAATATTTTGAGAAATACAAGCTGAAATTTCATTTCTCCAAATTCTTTAGTGATTTTTCTGAAAAAAACAACAACAAACAAACAACAACCATGCCATACATATGTACTGTACGTTATACTAGCTATTACTTTACTGTTCACTTTAGCAGTATTAATAAATCTACAAGCTTGTTCTATCTGTGGGTTCATCATTATAAACGAAGTTTTTGGCTAAATTCTTTACACATCAAAGCAAAGTTTTCTAAACTTTGTATCTTTAACTGTGGAAACAAATACTGAACATACACACACACGTTTTGGACCAGACTGGCTGTAAATTTAACTCTGAGGTGATTTAGCATACATAAATCCATGCAGTACCCACTTTTTATTCTGTGAACACATCCCAGATATATCCAAGTTCTGAGCCAGACTGGCTATACTTGAATCTAGATCACCTTTCATTATGCTACTCTGGTTGATTTTAGTATCCATCGTTCCTCCTGTTGTTCTGGCACCAGAAGACTGCTGAGGCTGAAGCACATCACCAAAGGCATCAAGACCTGTAGGTTACAATGGTATATCAAAATTCTCATACAGAGTGAAGGGGTTTTTATGTTCCTTTGGAATTTCAAGAACATTTTAAGAGGAAGTGACTGAGCTGTTACAAACAAATGAAAAAATAATTCAACCTTTTTGAAGTAAGAAATAATGAAATTTTCACTTATCCACATCGTATTGCATAACAAATGAGCAAAATTTATATGTGCATAAAATATGTTTGTATGCATGGTTAACTTTTATAAATCCTTTCCAGACTGGGTGGAATGGGGTAGGGTGGTATCACTAATATCCCTTGATTTTCCTTCTCCTTACAACTGAAAATCCAACCAAATACAATGAATCTTGATATCCCAAATAGTATATAGTTGTGATTTAAAAAACTTGCATAATATTATTTACTTTTTACCATCACTTTGTTGTTGTTAATATTTGAAAACTCTGTTGAAAGACACTGTTAAAAATATTAAAAATCTTTATATATATACTATCAGTTTCACTTCTGACTATAAACTACAAAATACACAGTGATTAATACAATGCATATTGACGACCTATGACATGACCCGTCATAATGGCATCGGGTCATGCAAGATAATAATACTCTTGGTTGAAATCAATTGATATATAATACACGTAGTTTATTTTCAATAAATAAGTTCTTTTACTTATCTACATTGTCTGAATATGATAAACTTAACCATAAACTTTCAATGAAGGATTTGAGTCATCAAAATATTTTGCTGTCATCTACTGTACTCTCTAAACATAACTAAGATACGAGTCATCTACTGTACTCTCTAAACATAACTAAGATACGAGTCATCTACTGTACTCTCTAAACATAACTAAGATACGAGTCATCTACTGTACTCTCTAAACATAACTAAGATACGAGTCATCTACTGTACTCTCTAAACATAACTAAGATACGAGGTCTTGTCACAGAAAATAAATTCAAAAAATACAAGTTAACACAAAAACATTTTTTATGAACAAAAAGAAACCCTAGAAAAACTAAAACACATTTTCAGATCTGTGGTTTGTTCTCAAGTCTTCTAAGTAGATTCAAGTGTTATTTTCTGTAGGAGCTACTTCTAACATTACTTCTCACATCACTTTCTTCATTCTACATTTGTGTATACAATTTATAATCAGTTCTCTGCCCTATCCAATGATATATAATTTTGCCTGTAGTTATTTTATAACTTATTCACATCAAGTGATTATCATTTCTTAGCAAATAAAAGAACCTATGCCATACGAAGAATACAATTGTTTTTAGATCAATAAGAATGTTGTTTACAGACAAGGCTCCTTGTAGAAGTGTAAGTTTGAACTAAATAAATGTTACAAAATATCGATTCTAAAAGACTGTTATATAAAAATGGTTGAAATAGAACTAAAATTGATTTTACTTGAATTTTGTAATATGATATGCAGATGTGCATTCAACACCCGAGAGGTGCTACCCGGTCAGGAGAAGAGTTAATAAATGGTCAATCTCAGGAATTCTGTATACAGAACTTGTGGGTATCACTTTAATGGACTGCACAGATACAGAAGCTAATCACTAGTCAAATGTGGTGAAGTCAAGATAAAAAAAATATTTTCATGAAGAGGGTAGGTTTTCAATATCAATTTTTTTTTTTATAGATTACCATGAAAAAAACAAAAAACTGAGAAAACAAGAATCACCAAATCATCTTTCAAGACACCTGCTTTATGGGCTGTCACTGTTGAACTAGTGATGTCTGACTGAAGAACGATTCAAAATATTCATAATCAAAAAACCTTCATTTGCATTAGATCGTTATGGTGAACTTTGATAATACAAAAAATACACAAATCAACACGTTACACTGGTCTGGAGCAAAATTTACTCAGTGTATCAAGTCTAAACAAAAGAACCTGATGACAAATAATTCCTACTATATCAATTCATAATTTTCTTGTTAATAGAAAGTACAGCTTCAACAAATGATGAATTATTCAAAGGAAGTGTCCAAACACAGATTATAAAACATGTTTTTACATATCACTAATACTTAAATACCCTTAATATATGTTTTAATTGTGTCATGCAGTTTCATTTAAAAAAGAAATGCACATATACTAGATGCTCACGAAAAACAAACATAAAATAACACACACAAGCAAAGATAACAAAAAACAGCTAATTTATAGTACCAGCAATCTAGTTTACTTCACTTTTAGTGGTGTGTGTGTGTGTGTGTGTGTTGTGTGTAGTTTAAAACATGCAATTATCCCTTCAGGATCATAAAGTTAACAGCAATAAACAAAGAAACTTTGACTCAACTAATATAAAAAACTAACAAAAGGCCCACAGTGTACAAGATAGGGTGCCCTGAAAAAAGACTAACTAAACTCAGTATAAGTATTACCATATGCTTTTAACAAAATACACTGATAGTGCTCACTATGCTTGCAATCTAATAGCAATGCAACATCAACAGTGCTAATCCACTATCTTAAAATGTTCAATAGCAATGCTGCGGCTAAGGAGGAACAGTCCTCTAAGCTTGGCCATGCTTACGATTTCATCTACAAGAGCGATTTTACCATTCTTTCAGTGTGCAAAGTGTCTTATGATGGTAATTAAAAGTTTGAAGACAAATGTTCCTCAGGTAGGCTTTCCCACCTCACCTACCAAAGGAATCAAGACGACTTAAAGACGAGGAAGGTTGAGATCTGCCTCCTTCGTTTACTTGGAATGATGAAATGGGTATACCCACTGGAGTTCCACCCACAACTGGTTCTCCGTACACAAGTGTAGGGGTTGAAGAGGCTGGGCCAAGTGGACCGTGTAAAGGCCTTAGCAGCAGTCTATTCTGAAGGGCAACACTAAGGTCATCGACAGCTGAAAACTGAACTGTCTGTTGATGCAGAGGGTAGCAGTATGTTTGGAAAGTGTACAGAGGAGGCTGTGAACGCAAGTCCGGGGTCGAGCCTCCAACACTTACGCCATCTGATAGATCCTGACCACCAAAACAAGTTGATGAAGGAACTACAGGAAAAGAAACTTAGCCCTGTCATGTGATTTTTGTGGTGATTCCTTTGAAAAAATACTGTATCTCTGTTAATCAAAACTTGGAGCAGTTCTTTCATAAATACTTGTACAGGTAAGAAGTAACTCAAAATTATTAAACGTGTTACCTTTTAATATCACATTTTGATATACAGCATATAACAAAACAAAAAGAAATACATAAAAATCACCTTAACTTACATGTATGCACGTGAATGTGTGTATGTGTATGTATATATATATATATATATATATGTGTTTTTTTTTTTGGCGATACACAATTTAAGTATCACACTACTATTATACTACCACTATTTGTACAAAACCAAATAATAATGTGTTTCTTTGAAGTGGTTTTCAAAAAAACAATTATTACCCAAAAATGGAAGAATTAATCAAATATATTATTAAGTCAATAAAACTATGTTCTTTACTTCTATACCTTTTTTTTACTCACAAGCATTTCTATTTAAGTGTTATTCAAAATTTAAAAAATACATAAACACTACAAAATTAAAAGGGAGGAAAATACTGGGAAAGATAATACAATATATGTACAAAAGAAGAAAAAACTAGGCCAAACATGTGAGGGAAGTTTCCATATCTTTATAGGAAACTTAACAGAATACAGACCTGCTAGCAGGCTAAAGAAAGAAGCAGCTGTTAATCCTGAAGCAGCTTGGAGAAACAGTGAAAATGATTAAATTATCGAATCACACTCATAAAAAAAGGTTAAAACTCCAATAATTATAACTGTGAAAAATAAAAGCATTGAACATTTAATCAACATACCTTTACCTGATGCCCCTGACAAAGTTACCTTCCAAACTCAATATTATACCAGTAAAAAATACATATCTTTCAACATACAGTGAAGTATGTGGGATCCAATTAAAACTGAAAATATATAGTTCCAACTTTTTAAACAAATTTAAAGCTGAGATGTATAAAACTTTAGAAAAATAAAATGTAGCTATAATTCTTTGAAAACAGGTAGTAACCACTATATAAAGGTTTTTTTTGAAATGGACAGTCTGCTAGTGAACTAGTAAAGTAAATTTTCTGATTCATTAATATGAAACATTGTCGAAACGTGTAGAGTCGTCAACATTTTGAAGGCCATAGATAGGCCTAAATAAAATGTTTTAATTGTGTACTAGTTTTAACTTTGAATATTATTTATGATTTTAACTTTATACACAAGTGTCACAATACAGTAAAGTAAATTTTCTGATTCATTAATATGAATCTTGTTCATATCAAAGAAGTGTGTTAATTAATTGTTGATAACAGATCAACATTCTACCTCTTTACCAGTTCACCAGCACTATCAATGAAAAACGTACACCAGTACAACTACAATACACTCACACAAACAAACAAAAATGAAAAAAAAAAGAAAGAAAAAGTTAGTGTTTCATCCCAATGGTTTTATAGGTACGAGTTAAGTTCATCAAGAAATGTTAATATCAAATCACTTTTATTGACCGAAATAGAATCTGCATAAACAGTACTGAAAAAAGTAATGTAGTAATGCATGTATTTCCACACATTAATTAATTTAGGCCAAATATCTGAATATGGTTCTTAATTTTAAATTCTGTTTTGTTTGTTTGTTTTGAATTTCGCGCAAAGCTACACTAGGACTATCTGCGCTAGCCGTC